TTGGTGACGTTGGAACACTCGTGGCTATGGCTGGAGACAGAAATCAACACGTAAGCCAGGATTAATCAAGCAGCGCTGGAATCGTACCCTAGCACGCAAGTGAGAGTCTGTCCCCCAGCAGAACTCTCTCTCCTGAACACTCACTCTTTGTCATTAGCCAACTAGAATCTGTGACAGGGAGCACTTTGGAGACATGCTCATCAAAAAAAAAAAAAAGAAAAAAAAGCAGCTGCAAGGAAAGGTATGTATTTGGCAAGTGAGAACAGATACCTCTCATTTGCATTGAAGCACTTTTTAAAAGACCAATCACCTGTATCTGATTTATGCCGCTTCATAAACACTTCTGTGAGTTGTGTCTCTATGAAAGTGTCTACAGCCTGGAGCTGTTCTGGATTCTTCTTTCAGTGGTAAAAGGTTAAGAAAGTAGCTCTCGGCCCGTATATTTACCAAATAAAGAGGGTTCATTCAGTCAGTCCTGAGGGCACACACCCAGTGGACTTGCTTCTTAACTGAGAGCAAACTCACGCCCATTAGTCTAGAGAGATCACAGGTGGGGCCAGCACAAAGGATTCATGCATTTGGCTAGATGGTGGACAAGACCTTCTCAGGTTTCTTCTCACCCAAGAGATAATTTAAAAATTTACAAGAGGTAATAACCTCGTGCAGAGGCAGAGATGTAATAGGAATCCAAACAGCTTACTGAAGGTCTCAGAGCTACCCAGAGAGACAGCAAGACTAGAACTAAGGCCAAAGTGTCTGGCACAAAAGCATTGTCAATGAAGGAAGGAATAAATCAAGAATGAACATGTACTTTCATTCTCATCAGGCACATTTTTTTTCCTGTAAGTTTCCTTAAATCTCAACTCTATTAACTATAAAATAAAACCTGAGGTCCTTTGCATAGGAGATAATTGGCTTAAAAACTCTTCTTTCTGTGGGATACAGTTTAATTTGGAATCCAGCCAGTTTTTGTCTTGAGAAGAAAAAAATAATTTTTGTGTGAGTGCCTATTACGTACCAGGCATTAGTTAAAGTAGAGGTCAGCAAACTTTTACTATAAAGGGCCAGATAGTGAATATTCTAGGCTTTGGGGCCCTGTGGTCTCAGCGGCAACTGTAACTCTGCCAGTTTGAAAGCAGCCACACACAATATGTAAATGAATGGATGTGGCTGCATTCCTATAAAACTTTTAGAAAAATAGTCCCTGGGCTTTGGATCTATTATATAATCTTATCCGGCCCTGGGGCTATAGTTTTGCTGCCATGATGTAATACAAGGTCAGAGGCATGAGCACAATCCAATCCCCTCCCCCTCCACAATTTAAAATGTAATCTAGAAGGAAAAAAGCAAGCATGCAAAAAATCTGGTCAAGGCCGGGCGCGGTGGCTCACGCCTGTAATCCTAGCACTCTGAGAGGCCGAGGCGGGAGGATCGCTCAAGGTCAGGAGTTCCAGACCAGCCTGAGCAAGAGCAAGACACCCATCTCTACTAAAAATAGAAAGAAATTATCTGGACAACTAAAAATATATATATATAGAAAAAATTAGCCAGGCATGGTAGCACATGCCTGTAGTCCCAGCTACTCAGGAGGCTGAGGCAAAAGGATCGCTTGAGCCCAGGAGTTGGAGGTTGCTGTGAGCTAGGCTGATGCCACAGCACTCTAGCCCAGGCAACAGAGTGAGACTCTGTCTAAAAAAAAAAAAAAAAAAATCTAGTCAAAAGTTCATCATGGGAACACTAAAGAGAAGGAAATCTAATCAGCTCCTGGAACCTTTTCTTTCTCAGGGCTATTTTCCCTGTGAAGAAGCTGGGAAACTACAAAGGTAGAAAGAACTAATGGGCAGAAGCCCTAAGAGTTGGGAGTAAGCTCAACCTGTGAAAAGTACAAGAAAATTAAAGCAATGACTTGATTATCGAGGGATGTGGCAGAAGGTCACTTTGGCTCCATTATGGACCCATTTTCCAATGTGATCTAACTGGCTTTGTATATATCCATCTATTAAGAATTTCTTTAAACTCTACATGCTCGCTTCGGCAGCACGTATCCTAAAACTGGAACGATACAGAGAAGATGAGCATGGCCCCTGCACAAGGATGACATGCAAATTCGTGAACTGTTCCATATTTTAAATTAAAAAAAAAAAAAAGAGTTTCTTTAAACTCTATAAAAGTCTACAGAATTTAAGGAAATATGAAAGTCTGTATAGTATACAAGTCTCCTACTAATTTCTATGTCACCTTTTAAAATGTAGCCAGGTTAATAATATAATTGATAACTCCAAGAAAGTTGCAATCGTACACCTATTACCTCTTCTCCACAAGCTGCCTCCTCACATCTGCCCATAACACAGTGCATGGCTAGTGTCCTTTGGCTTCCCTGCACCGCCTCTGTTTCCCTAGAGTCAGCTATTGTCTCCATCAGAATTGTTTTGCTCACCCTTGTAAGAAAAACAAACCAAGTCCAAAAGCTGAGAGATTGCAAAATAAAGTGCCTCTGAATTGAAAAAAAATAAAAATAGAAACACAGCTTATTAAGGCCATAGGTATTGGGTTTCATTATCGATGTAAAACCTTCGCAGAAAGAGATTCATTAAGAAAGAGCACCAGAGACCCGGAAATCCTCAAGAACCTACTTCTTTCATCAAATGGTAAGGAAAATTAGGATGCCCACAGCAAGATGGGAAAATGTAATGTTCCCAGATTTTTGGATTTCATGAACTTCTTAAAACAACTGTGAACAGTTGTTGGAATGCAAATGATTTCACAGAAGATCATTTTAATTTTAAAAAAGAAATTTGGGATTTGATGTGAGATGTGCTTCAAAAAAACCCAAGTTTGGGCAGGGAGAAGTGGTAGAACTATGTTTATATAATATATGCTCAACAAGATTGAGTTGACGATTATTAAAGCTGGATGATGTATCTACACAGCAGTAGCTTACATTACCAACTTTTTGTTTGATCTCCATTATAGTTTTAAAATGTTAAAATGTGGATATTTTTTAATGTTCCTCTAAGACATAATCTCAGAGAGAAGGGGCAGTTCTTTAAGTTGAATCAATTCAATTTCATAAAAATATTCACTATATTTCACTATGAAACAGTGAATGCTATTTCATGGACCAATTAGCACGTTTAAAGTACAGTCGGCCCTCCATATCTGTGGGTTCTGTGTCTGTGGATTCAATGAACTTCAGGTGAAAAATATTTGAGGAAAAAAAAATGGATGATTGCATCTGTACTGAACGAGTATAGACTTTTCTTGTCATTATTTCTAAATAATACAGCATAACAACTATTTATATAGCATGTACATTGTATTAGGTGTTCAGTAATCTTGAAATGATTTTAAGTATATGGGAGGATGTGCAGAGGTTATAAATATCTTCTGTACTACTTTATATAAGGGACTTGATCATCTGTGGATTTTGGTACCCTCAGGGGATCCTGGAACCAATTTCCCACAGATACCAAGGGACTGTACCACTTTGGGAATGAGTGTGCTGATTCTAGCCTATGGCCTTGAATCAAGGTTGGTCTTACAACTTCATCTACACAAATAAAAGTTATTCTGTTTCCCAAAAGCAAGAGTTTATTAGAAAAGAGAACTAAGGAATTTCCTTTTTCCCTATTAAAAGAGAAGAGAAAATTAGTTCCAAACAGAAAACTCAATTAACCTGCATGAAATATCAAAGGAAAAAGGCAAGCTTACCTGGTTTAATCTCCAATGATAGGGTGACTTTCATGTCATTGAACCACCCCCTGTGCTCAACACGGCAACAATACAAGCCACTGTCAGCCTCAGTTGCATTCTCTATGGTCAAAGAGACATTCCCTTTCAAAAGGTCCCCTCTTAGCTTGTAACGATTGTGCTTCTGAAAGGTGACACGGGACCCATCGGTCCAGATAATTTCATTTGAGCATCTAAATACACGACATGCCCCTCGGCCCCAGCACATGGACGTGACTGCTCTGTTAGCCACCGAGTAGTTGCAGGGCAGTGTGACAGCCTGACCCGCCACTCCTCTCACTTGTACATTAGCAACTACAGCATCTGCAATGAAAAGAGAAGAGAAACTGAAAATGAGGCCTCAATATTCTCTTTGAAAACTTATTTTCACTTTTTAATTTATTTTTCTTTGTACCATTTCTTTGTTTTATAAGTACGACTTTATAGTTTGAATTTAAAATTTTACTGTTATAAACACTGTTCTATGTTAGCATATTTTTCATCAGTATTATTGTGTAATGGATATACTTGTGGATAAAACAATGTATTATTCTGTATGATGTTCAAGATGTTGCTCATTTTTACCATTGTAAATAACATCACAAAATCTTTCTACGTAAAGCGTTTCTGTATTCAGTTTTCCTAGTAGGATAGAATTCTAAGAAAAAAATTGCCAGGATAAAAGGCAGGAACATTTTCACTCATTTCATGAATATGGGCAAATTGCTCTCCAAAAGGTTTGAACCTAATGGCATTCAAGTAACACATGAACGTGTGTTCTACCCTGTGTTGGCCAGGTATCTGCTTGTTATTGATTTTTGAATAGGGAAGACATGCATGTGACTTTTAAAAATTAAAGAATCACCAAAGAGGATATAGTGAAAAGTCTCTCTCCCAATCTAGTACCCATCTCCTCTCCCAGATTCACTGTATCAGTAGAAATATGTTTTTTCTTTTTTAAATTCTATTGCATTTAAATTTCAAATTTTTCATTTTCATTATACTTTTAAAAACTACTATTGTAAATGAAATCACCTTCTCACTACCCTCTCCCATCCCCCCCCAAAAAGCAGAGTTAATGTTTTTTTTTAAAGCGTTGTTGGCTTGAAGGCAGAAGTCTAGTAAACTCTTCAGAAGTCAATTTTTAGCCAATGGGTTTATAATACTCCCAGGAGGAACTGAGGCTTATCATGGGTTTAGAACCAGTCCAAAAACAGCCTAAGTAAGGGTCCCTTCTCATAAGTCAATGACAGCCCAGCAACTGAGCAAGGCCCACTTACCCAGGTGAAACCACAGAATCAGAGAACATTCCATTAAGGACTAAATTATGCCACTTAAAAAACTGAAAACAACAAAAAACAAAACTATCTCCTGGGGTAGTGCCATAAAAACCCTGCTGCCAAATGCAGTCAAGGTGGCCTGAAAAAGAAATCTGAGATTCCCTAACTACTCGTATTTAGGACTGGGCTACGAGTTTGGTAAGTGCTCTGGGAAAGAACACTCATTACAACATAAAATAAGAGTATATTTCTCACTAGAATTCTTATAATTTAATTTTGCCTAATACTGATATCATCTTTGGGATTATAAATATAATGCATGCTATGATATTAATAACTAGATTATAGTAATAGAAATATATAATAATGAACTTTCCCCATAATACCACCCTCCAGAGATTAGTTTCTAAAATTTAAGATATGCCTATTGCAAAATTTTGCCCTATCTCATAGAATGTTTTGAATCAAAATATTTTAAAACAAAGTAATTGAACATGGTTTTAAAATAATCAAAAAAGCAGAGAGTAATACAATGAAGGGTGACCTCTTCCTTCTATCTCTGATGCCCACTTCCTCTCCCCATCCCTTGACCCACCCCATGGTAACCATGGTTGCCATTTCTTAAATACATGTACCTATGCATACACATCTACACACCTCTTTTTTGTTTAAACATAAATGGTAGCACGTGACACACTGTTCTGCATCTTACTTTGTTCACTTAGCCATGGATTTTGTAATTCGCAGCGGCTAAACAATTTCTTTACAGTAAAATTTCATCCTGGTTCTCTGCTCACTAACTCATAAACCATCCAAGGCCAGGAGCAATGGCTCACACCTATAATCCTAGCACTCTGGGAGGCCACAGCAGGAGGATTGCTTGAGCTCAGGAGTTTGAGACCAGCCTGAGTAAGAGGGAGATCCTGTCTCTACTAAAAATAGAAAACCAGTTGGGCGCCATGGTGCGTGCCTGTAGTCCCAGCTACTCAGGAGGCTGAGGCAGGAGGATCGCTGGAGCCCAGGAGTTTGAAGTTGCAGGGAGCTATGATGCTGCCACTGCACTCTATCCAGGGCGACAGAGCAAGACTGTCTCAAAAAAAAAAAAAAAAATGAAATAAATAATAACTATCCAACAACGCCCAAAGAACATCTATCTTCCTCCATCCCCCAACCCCCTACCTTTCCACTCCCCCAGCCCAGAGGCTTCTAAACCCCTCAGCACACCCACTTAACTTACCTGTTAGAAGTAGTATGAGGCTTACGATGACCAGAGGAGAGTGCATTTTGGGGTCAGCCTGAAGGAAAATGAGCAGACACACTGGTTGGTTTTTCCCCTACAAGATGTTATGTGGTCTCAATTCTCAGATTGCAGCTTCTCTTTTCTCCCTGACTGGGCGAATCACATGAGCCGCTGTGCTGGAGATAAGAGCAGACCACACACAAGGACTTCGGGGCTCTGTTAGCTGAGGGCTCTGTGCCTTCCAAAGGACAGAGAATGCTGTCCTCAGAAACAACCTCTTATTTCCCAGCCTATTCCCCACACATAGCCTCCAAACCAACCCCTGGTCCTGACACAGGAGATGAGGAAGGAAACAAAAAGGGAAATCGGAGGCCGATATAAGCAGGGTGGCCCAAGTGCAGCACACCAGGGCAAATTCCAGCCTTCCAATAGCAGAGAGGCCTTGCTCTTGGACTCTGAAAGTAAACTTACCCTCTGGTGGACGTGGGGCTCTTCCTGCTTGGTGGTCACAGTGGTTAGTCCCTGTCGTTCACAGTTATATTGCCAAGTTTGCCATTAGCTAGAGGAACCGAGAAAGAACGTGAATCACCGTGCCCAACCATTCATGCTACCGGACACGGTGACTCAGACTACATCCTACTGAGGAATTTCAAGAGAATGCTTCAAGATGCAGAAGTCTGGACCAGAACTGGGTTCAGATCCAAGCTCTGCCATTCACAGAGCTGGATAACCCTGAGAGTTACTGACCCCTTCAAGCCTCGATTTCCTCATTTGTAAAACAGCACTAAAAGTATTTGCTGTCTCCCTCAACGGATTGGTATAATAAGCAAAGGGGTTATACAGGGAGAACTTAAAAAAAAAAAAACGAAGCCTATAATAATATACACTAGTAACACTAGTCAAGGTTTTTGGAGAATTTGGAGAATTTACTACGCAGCAGGCTCTGTGCCAAGAATCCACAGGCATTTAATCCTCGCAGAACACTAGAGGCATGTGCGGTCCGTTATTAACCCCATTTGTGGAGGAGGAAGCTGAGTCTTGGGGAGGTTAAGTGAGCTTAGATTCCAGGCTTCTGGCTCTTGATCTCTGCTCTTAATCATTAAACCACACAAACATGAGTAAGCCTGCCTAGTACTTCATTAACTCCAGAGGGGGCAATGGCGATGTGCTTCCCACCTTCCTGCAGCCCCTGACAGGCTTCCTGGAGAAGTGGGTGGTCTGGCACACTCTGTTCACGGACCCCATGCTGCCTTGCCTGGCAGTGGGCACCCCCGACTCCAACACTTGGAGGAGACCTGAAGCCCGATGCTACCAACTGGTGGCCCAAAGACTATATTTGGCCTGCAGAAGCGTTTTGTGTGGCAGTCTTTGAAAATTCATTTCTTAATTAATAGCCAAAATTTTAAAATCCAGGGAGTCCACATGAAACTCAGCTTTTCAACTTTTTGTGAAATAAAACGAGATGGCAACACATGGCTCATTCCTCTCTGTTCCCTTTGAGTTCTTCAGCCAGCCCCAGCCCACCCGGGGGACTCCAGTGACAAGCTCCCTCCTGTCACTGAGCCTTCACACTGGCTGTCTCACAGGCTATTTGCTGAAATTATGCTTTTCCATAAAATGAAGTGTTGGACCATGATCTTTAAGAGCCCGTCCAGCTTTGCAATGCCAAATTCTTCACACTCTTGGATCCAAGCATGTGACAAGATGAGTTCTACCAAGAAATAAGCACCTTTCTAGATACTTGCTAGATCGTCGTATTCTCTGCCTTTATAGGCTTGGAGGGGACAGTACTGATCCCATTTCAAAAACTGAAGGTGGGGGGGTAAATTCTCAAATGGCTCACGCAGAATTAAATCATGCTTTATTTATTTGGGAGGCAAAATATTTTATGACTAGTTTTTATTATACTCAGACTGGGCCAAAGCCCAGTCAATGATAAAGACTTTTTTCAATTTAATTTGATTCTACCAATTATTACTAACATATTGAGGCTAATGAGGCCCGACTCGATATACTAAGGATGTAAAAAAAAAAAAAATCCAGGATTGTGCAATCGGGCAGAAACACAGTTAAAGAAGCAACTAACTAATAAAATCAGGTAGAATGAGATAAATGGTAAATATATAATCTGACCATGTCACTCCCCCAATGGAAAAAAAAATTCCCAACTCCTTAGATTTACAAAACCCTGGTGATCTGGCCCCTCTACCTACCTCTAACTTTTTCTCCTACCACCCGCTCGCCTGCCCACCCAGCCCCAGCCACGCAAGTTTTCTTTCCAATTTACGTTGACCTTAGAGCCTTTCCCCTGGCTGTGTTCTCTGTCCAGCTCCCCATTCCTCCCCCCTCCCCACCATTTTCACATTTTTTTCCTTTTTTATTTTGAGCGTTCCTTAAACGTCACCTGCCCGGACACTTCTCTGAAGCAGCCAACCAGTCTCTCTCTTTATTATCACTCTATTTTAATTCTCTAGGCAGCACAATTACCTGATTTCCCTTGATATATTTATCTGCGTGTGTGACGTGCGCAGTTATCTGTCTCCCTTCACTCCTGCGCAGTGCTGCCCGATAGGACTTTCTCTGATGATGAGTTATTCTGTATGGCCTCCGTGAGGCACAATAGCCTCTAGCTACACATGACTATCTGAGCACTTGAAATGCTGCTAGTACCACTGAGGGATTTTTAACTTTTAAATTTAATTTGATTTTAATTAAGATTTAAATTGCTACACATGGCTACCTTGTTGGACAGCATGCAAGTCTAGGCTGTAAACTCCTTTAAGGCAATTTAAGTATTGATAGAATGGATTAACAAACGGAAGCACGAAGGCATGGGAGGCATGAGGAGACACCGTTTTGACGGGGTAGGGGCAGGGGGACAGGAAGAAATCTCTAAAAAAGTGACTTGTAAGGTTAATAGTTGGAGAAGAATGGGGGGAGGGGTGGAGAGTGGTTTAAATCCTGGAAATAAAGAGCAAGAGCCTAGACAGGGATGTAGAACCGGGGCTCTGAGAGGCTAAGTAACTGTGTAACTCCATAGGATTGAATTTTCTAACACTAGCCCATCTCCCATGAAACTCCACTATGTCCTAAATAATACAACCTTCATGAATCACTCTTTTATATATACATATATATACATAGAGAGAGAGAGAGAGAGCGAGAGAGAGACAAGGTCTCCCTCTGTGGCCCAGGCTAGAATGCAATGACGTCATCATAGCTCACAGCAACCTCAAACTCCTGGGCTCAAGAGATCCTCCTGCCTCAGCCTCCCAACGTGCAAGGATTACAGGCATAAGTCAGCACCTGGGGCATGAATAACTACTCTTTAGGGTCACCTTTGGACCCCTTGAAGGATACATCCCAGTTGCAGGGTAAGGCTCAAAGAGGTGACAGTACTTGGGCACCAAACCTGAATCTCCAGCGGCTTCCTAGCAAGCTTCGTCTGTGTAAAGCAGGATTAACATGCAGTGAATTCCAAAAATGAATTAATTCATTGTTGTTTCCCACAGCTACCACTTCCCTGCCATCCCAGCTCATACCTTATCTCCAGCTCCAACCTCCTACAGAACAGTTCACCTGCTCGTGCTCTCCATGCTTTCAACAGAGCGAGACCTTCCTCACCTCCTTTCACAACTAGAGATTCACCCAATCAAGCCACCCCATCGTATTTGTCAGACCCCTCTTATCCCCACCACTTTGTATCAGGCCTCTCCGTAACCCAGACTTCTACTATTCCTTCCAGAACTGTCTCCTGTCCTCCTACTCTCCCCTGCCTGCCCTGTCCCCTGCCCTAAGCTAGTTACTTTCCTTCACTTGCTATTGATTTAATAAAAAGCAATATGATGCTCATAACATTTTGGAAATCATAAAGATAGATATAAAAATCACAAGGTACCCATGTTCCACATAGAACATATGTAAAAATATAATTTCAAGAAATGTACTCATTGGCCGGGCGCGGTGGCTCACGCCTGTAATCCTAGCTCTCTGGGAGACCAAGGCAGGAGGATTGTTTGAGCTCAGGAGTTCGAGACCAGCCTGAGCAAGAGCGAGACCCCGTCTCTACTAAAATTAGAAAGAAATTAATTGGACAACTAAAAATATATAGAAAAAATTAGCCGGGCATGGTGGTGCATGCCTGTAGTCCCAGCTACTCGGGAGGCTGAGGCAGGAGGATCGCTTGAGCCCAGGAGTTTGAGGTTGCTGTGAGCTAGGATGACGCCACGGCACTCTAGCCCAGGCAACACAGTGAGACTCTGTCTCAAAAAAAAAAAAAAGAAAAAGAAAGAAACGTACTCATTTAACAAATATTTACTATCTGTAATGTGTTGGACACAATCCTATTCATTTAGAATAAATCAATGACCCAAAGAGCCCTGGCTTCATGCAGTTTACAAACTAGAATACAAATATACAAATTTTGGCCTATAATCCTAGCACTCTGGGAGGCTGAGGCAGGAGGATCACTTGAGCCCAGGAGTTTGAGGTTGCTATGAGCTATAATGACACAGCAGCACTCTAGCCTGGGCAGCTGAGCAAGACTCTGTATCAAAAAAACAAACAAACAAAAAAGAGAAGAAGAAAAAACCAAAAACCACAAATATACAAATGTTTAGAAACTAACAAAGATATAATTTATCAGCATATTACAAGGTGATGGGTACTAATGGAAAAAAGCAAAGGAATACGCAGAGCAATGTAGAGGAGCTTGGGAGTGCAGGGCTCGGTTGCAATTTTGAGTAAGGTGGCCAGGTTTGAATAGAGTGTCTACTAGGTTCACTGAGAAGGTGATATCTGAGCAAAGATAAAGAACAAGGATTTGCCAAGCCAGAAAGAGCTTTGTGGGAGTAGAGACCGGAAGGGCAAAGGTCCTAATGCAGGAGGCGCCTGGTGTGTTCCAGAGCAGGGGAGAGGCCAGTGAGACTGGATCAGAGTAAGGGACAGGGAGCAGAGGGGCCAGGGGACAGAACAGATGTGTGGCACCTACCAGCCACTTTTTGAGGACGTAGGCTTTCACTCCGAGTGAGAGGAAGCCGCTGTAGGGCCATGGGGTGACAGGCTCCCCCACTTCAAGAA